ATCTAACTGCATTCAGGAAGTGAGATACATCGATGTACGTGTATAATAGTGAATATTGATTGCTTGTTGCTATTATGGACAGGGATAGGATGTGAAAGGGGGTTACTGTTTATTTGAGATTAGCATGGATTCACATTTGTGTGACTATCATTGATGTAGGACAGAGGGTTCGAAAGGGAGAAAGCTGTCGTTATCAGATCCCCATCTTGTTTGTGGCATGTAGTACATGTTTATTACAAGACTCAGGTGCTATTAGATCGAGGGTACAGCTCACAAATTTTGGAGGACAACAGAAATTTTCGAGTAACAATAAAAGTCACTATACATGTAGTGTCAGTCAAGCAGTGATTTGGTACCTATGCTGCCATCAATACTGTGACCAGTACATATATTGTTAATTATTGCAAGCTGATGTTTTGCATAATGCAGACGGTGTGCATTATTAAGTTAATACTAGCTGGCTGATTTTGCTCATTTGAATGATACTGCCATCAATACTCTATGCATCTTAAATGCTTGCTACCTGATATTACACATCTGTTGATGATTGTTGTAATAATATGTGCCTGTTTACATTAACAACAAAATAATTGTTTGCACATTGAAATTACTTTTGTAAATGATGTTATTTAATATTAAGGTGGTCATTTTAAGATTTGTACTTGTATACATCTTGAGAAGCTGGCCGCCACAACAATGCAGGAATTTTGTCTTACTGTTCCTTTCCTCAGGCATTAGAGGCAAATGCACTGTTTATCCCAAATCCATCTCCACTACCAACCAATATCATTAGGCATCTTTCTGAAGGAGATGAAGCCTTCTTAAAGTCTTACACTTTACGCCCTTTTCCTAGACATTATTTAGCCGACGAAGTACTTTGTATCTAGAAATAGTAAAATTTTATGAAAAACTTAATACTGCACGTGTGAATTGTGCTAAAAATTGTTTTGTCATAAAATACCACAATACTAGTATACACGCATTTTATTTCTTTCATGTGCAAGACTAGCCTAATTTTAATTACAGGCTCAGTAGAACCCAATGGATCAATCAGGACACTTGAAATCTTGGCTGCAAGGTGGCAGGTATTCAGAAATGCCCACTAAACGGAGCATAAGTGTTTATTGAAGCAGCAATTGCGCTTCATAATTTTCTTTAAACTATTAATTTAGTCCAACTGGATTTGTAGATGCTGAAGTTAGATAAAAAACTTATTTCAGAGATTTCTGAAGTTAAAAGTAAGAAGTATACTAAAACTGCTGGTGATATAAAAAATTGTGTTAGGATTATTTTAATAGCGCTACAGGGGAAGTGCACTTAGCAATATGCCCATGTTTAAATAATAGAAATGATAATGGTATCACTGCATCTTACAACAATTAACTTTTACAGTATGTATATGATAATTTTTAAGAATTAAAGTATATAATATTCAAAAGTTACAATTATTGAACAAATTGTCATCTTTGTTGTTATAATAATTAATGGGATATGTTGAGAAAATTGATTTGGTATCTGTGGAGCTGGACATTGAATTAAGTGTGTTTAATCTGGAGTTTAGCCCTAACCTTTTGCCTTAAATTGAGTCACTGCAGATTCTCTGACATTAATTTTGCTACCTAAAATTCTCCTTTGCATCATTTACTATGTACTGAGACTTTTCACCAATAGTTCATCTATTTTATTAGTTCAAACCCTCTTCTTACACAATGCTGTTGCTCCAGCAGATGTATTAGCCATTACTCTATATGATTGCTTAGTAATGACCAATGATAAAGTAGATGTGGAACGTGATGTGACCACAACAGCCAGAGTTTTTGTCACTACCAAAACAAACTGTCTAAATATCAATTTGATTGTAATATTTTCCATCTGTTATCCAAAATTAACTAGCGTAACAGGGTAAAATGTATTCCCATCATTGATTTCACCACCTTGCAAGTACAACTTGGTCATTATTAAGACTTATAGAAGTTCTCTCTACCTTATAGTGCTTCAGAGAATTCTTTAGACAGTATTTCTATGCTCTCTGCCGTTAAAAGGCTCTTATAACTTTGTCCCATGTGTATGCCGCCATTTTGTGTGCCGTGACCACACCCACTCACATACAGGAGCGTGGGCGGATGATTGCTAAAGCTTGTTATTTCTCCAATACAACATGTATAGGAGAAATGTAAGTGTGGACATACAAATATATATATATATATATATATATATAGCACAATGGTGAATTCAATTATAGCAATGATCTGGGGGCTTCGCCCAAGGTCGTTAAAAGTTTTAAACCTTTATTAGGTGTGTGCACTATATCATCTTCAATAGTTACATTATGTGACTTGAGTAATGCTTTCAGTAATACATTACTAGATTGTCAAAATGATAAAAATTTGTGATTACCCTGCCTCATACACAAATCTAGCACAAACTAATGGGAAAACTTAGTTTTGTCTTTACCCAATTGAAACAACACTACTTGAATTACTGGTAGCCATTGATTGTACTACTATAAAAATGCTGCTGCTTACATTTGATGCCCCACTGGTTGTAAACTAAAAGTCATGGATCTAATTAACGGCCAATATAAAACATAAACAGGCCTTTCACACCTTTCTTTTTTAATGTTTTCTATACACCTGCTTAATGAACTTATCATGCTGTATTTTTCATTTTTATAACAATCTTTTTTAGTGAAGCACTTCCCAACCTAATGTACAGTTAATTATTAATGTTTTAGCTTCGTTAACACTCAGAGTTTCAGGCATTCTGTTTCAGTCTTAGATCTCTATAAAAACTAGGCTATTTGCCATAAGCATGGAGATACATCCTCAGCTTAAACTAGCCCTTCCTACATGTTTCACGTTCACTGGAAATGATGTCACACTAAAAAGGACATGGCTGGGTAGGTCTAAACTGAAATGTTAATGCTGTAACTGAATTTTGGTCCGTTTGGTTGTTTTGATCCTTAAGCTATGCTTGCATGAAAGATGTATGTTTACAAAATGACGTATGACAGACAAAACGCTCTGTTGGACAAAACACTGTGGTAATGTGGTATTGTAAATTGAGATTTTTTCTTAACCAACTAATATAAATTTGGTTTGGCAGGTGATTTTGTGACAATAATTGGTATCTACATTCCCAGCAAGCAGATCATTTTTCTGTTACATTTAATAACAAAGTTGTGGTCAGTGCCATCAAGTATATACATTGTACTAGAAGAATCCTTTAATAACTCAAAGTATTGAAAACTCTTTTCATATGTCACTGCTTCTGCAATGGAACAAACAAGCAATATGAAGCAAGATAAAAACAGTAATGGTTGTTTTAGTAAGCAAATGCAACCATTTAAACATATTTTTTGACCATTATATTATTTGCTACAATATTTCATGCCACTTCTTAATGCGTAGTGCCTAATCAATTATTTGTGCAATGAATTATTTTGCCACAACTAATCTCTGAAAGGCATCAATCCACTTCTGACCCTATTGGATTGTCACTGGTTAGAGAAACAAATCTGACAGCTGCTATTATATAGGCGGTAGCCTATATGTAGGGTTGAGGTTGATTTTTCAAGATGGCGACCAAATTTTTAATTTTCAAATGATTATAACTCTTTTATCTTACTCTATACGGCCTTATAAATGGCTTAGATGAGTTCTGCTTCACTGAGCAATTCTCCTGGTACCTATAAAGTGTACCACAATGTAGTGGGAGCAATTCTGGATAATAGGCCCAAATTCAAATTTCTGCAAAATTCTTCAGACTTTTTCTTCTTTCATTTTTCTTCTATGATCACGGAAATCTTTTAAACTAGAGAACAGCTTACAATGGCTTTTACACCATTCCTTAGAGCTTGGGTCAAGAACAAGACAAGTGCCTTTATTATCTTACTTACTGTAAGTTTAAAAACTAATTATTTGGGCGTGATTTATCACTCACCTCTCTTTTTCCGACGCCATTTTGAAATTAAATGTGCATGCACAAAGTTGTTATAGCTACATTACTGTGTGCAGTGTGTAGTGACTGTTCGCTCTATTCTTCTCTTGGTCTTTGTTGAGGTTAACTTACTTGCAAAGAGTGCCCACTACTCAGACTAAGAGATCACCGGTTCTTTTAAGAACTAATAGGTAAATAAATCATTAATTCAACTAATAAATTTAAGATTCATTTTAAAATTAGAGTGAAATTAAGGTTACAGCTGCTCAGTATATATAAGTTATTTAGTCAGCTGCTTCTGAAGTACTACGTTGTATTCTTAGTACTGCAACAAATTGAGAGAAGTGTTTTACAATGATAAGTAGCAGCAGAGTTTATGATGATAATAATGTACATCCTGCATACTTCGTCTTATGGTACATTTACTTATTTCTAGTTTCAATGTCAGGAGTGATTTTGGTTGTGATAACTGTACAGAAAGGAAGTAAAAAAAGGAAGAGTAACTTAACTGGGAATAAAACTAAAAAAAGAAATTCAAGAAATTATGATGATAGAAAGGGTCCGTGTATATTTCCGCCATTCAAAATGCAAATTTTATGGATTTTTGAACTTCAGGACGGTTGTCAATTTGCAAATGTTTGAATTTTTGATTTTTAACATCTTGACCGAATTTTCTCCAAATTTTCTATTTCTCTGAACATGATCTCTGAAATTTTAAAATTTGACTGAACCTGGCAATTTGCCTTTGCTCCCAATGCTAACACTCTGACTCTGGCTTTTACAGTCAGAGGTATGAAACAGCTAACTCAAGAAATAATCATTTTGGATTTTTGGACTACAAAATGCCGATTTCTGAAAATTGAAATTTCAGAATTTTGAAATTTGGATTGAAAATTCGAAATGTAATGGCAAATTTGCAAAACTCTGGAAATTAGAAATTTGAATGAAAGACCTTCCCTCTAAATGCTAAGTTGACTGTTTTCTCTTCTCCATCATCGCCATATCAAATTATTTCACATATATGCTCCGCCTTCATACAATTTGCGGACACACCCACTGTCATGGCAAAGTTACTGGAAGAGTTAGAGTCTCTTGTTCGTGAGTTAGTTGAGGAAAGGAAGTGGATTTTAAGCAGAGTCAGTGAACATCTGAAGCAGGAGTATCCTGGAACCAGAGGGTTGAGTCTTAGAAGCGTAGAGAGGTTCTGTCAATTGAAGGACATTCATCATCGTACAAGTAGATTAAATGACACAACCCTTGATCATGTCGTTTCTGATGCCATTAATATGGTTAGTGATAAAATTTGAACTAATGTGCATGCCTTCTATGCTCACGAAAAATTTTGTGCTCACGAACAAGACATGTTACATGCCGGCCTGTTTGCAGTCATAGCATCAAAAATAGAAACAGCCTGTCAGTTTTAGTTGAAATTAATTTGGCAATAAAATTATGGTGATTTTGTGCCAGTATGCCTATGTCCATGGTTTCATTGAGTGAAGGCTGTTTCATTTACTTGCATAATTAATTTATGTTGTTTTATTATAATTATAATAAACTAGGTGGGGCCTACTTATGGCCGTAAAACTATGACTGGACTATTGAGGTCACGTGGGATTTCTGTGAGTAAAGCTAGAGTTGGAACCTCATTACGGCGTGTTGATCCGACTCATCACATACACAGAAGCAGAGTCACAAGGAGACATCTAAATCCTGTTCCCTATCACGCTGATTACTTTGGCCATAAACTTCACATTGACCAGAACGAGAAGCTAGTCATGTTTGGAGTGACACACATCTGCGCTGTTGATGGCTTTAGTGGAAAGATTGTCGGTTTCATTACTATGCCAGTGAAGAACTGCCTTGAAATCTATCGGCATCTTTATAGGTAGATTATTTTGTAAAACGTTTTTCAGTAATGTTTGTATGCAGACCTTTGACATTAGATTATGGACTATGGGACCAGATACGCGTCGATCATGGGAAGGAGTGGCATCTCATGTTATTTATGCAGGAGCAGTTAGCGAATTATCGCTACAATTATGATCGTGCCCCTCACTTACAGACAACATCAAAACTGGTTAGTTAAGCATCACATTTTAACTCTTTATGATTTTCTTTTATAGAATCATTGTGTGGAGCGACTTTGGGTTGAAATTAATAAGCGTGTTAATTACCCGAAAAAATTATGTTTAATTCATTTAGAGGAAAGAGGAGAAATTGATATGGATGATCTGTTGGTGAAGTTTTGTGTTTCGTTATTCACAATAAGAGTTGCTATTGTTGGTACAACTATGGCAACATCTGCTTGGAATGAACATTCTGTGCCTGGTAAGCAACATTAATCTCATGATAGGCACATAATTATAGCATAATATTTTAGCAATAGTTTTCACACCTTAACCTAGTTACTTTATACATCATTTGCATTAGGTGTCTTGTATAACCAATTATTTTAAGATGTTCCATTATTCAACAATCTAGGGCAAGGAATACCAAATGAGAGAATGCTACGTGCTAATCATGTTGCGCCTATTGATCCAAATATTCTTCCAGAAACAGAGGTTGCTGTTGAACAGATGGAATCATTGGGATCACACCTGACTCGCTTTAGCCCATTTGGACAAGACCCACTGGAAGGACATGGCCATTTTTGTCGACAGAGAGATGAACAGTTCGAGGCTCGTTTTCCAAACTACGATGACTTTTTCCATTCTGTTGCAAATAGTGACTTTACCTTATTTCGTCAGGGATTATTATACACTATTGAAATCACCAGGCATCTTGAATTGCAATTAAATAATACATAACTTAGTTTGACACAAGAAACAATAGAAAACCTTATACAAAATGCTTAAATGGGTGGGTAGTCTATATTAATTTATTAATCAAGTCAAATAATAGGATGGCAACCTCTCTTTGAGCTAAATAATAGGATGCCAATAGGATAGCAACCTCTGTTTGAGTCTTGCTTAGAGTGTTAGCACATTCTGATGCTAATCCATGCCATGTGAACTAGTCTAGATTCTGTTAGTCACGCGAGCAAATCACATAAGGAATAAAGCTCGGTTCTTTCAGTTATCTAAGTCTCCGAGGGAGAAGAAACATACGTTAGACTTATTTGTCATGGCATCACTTATTGGTCGCAATTCCTTTCGTACTGTGACTGTAAAGAGGAATGGACACTCAACCGAGATCCAGACATCTCAAGTTACAACGACTAACTTAAGCAAAATGTTCAAAGTTGATCCTAGGGAAGTGTGGTTAAGTGACGAATTTGATGGAGAATCTTTCTTTCGTGAGCTAGATGGATCATTCCAAGGGTTACCCAACTTCCATGAATTTATTGTTAAAGGTCAAGAGCAGCGAGGTCCAGACCTTGACTTATCCATTAATAGTGAGAGTAACATTGCCACTACAACCTATTCCAGCTGTACTCCAACTCCAAGAAAGCCTGCATTTCGTTCTGTCATTTCTTCCAGAAGCAATAGCAAGAGCCATACAGAAGCAGCTTCTGTCACATACAGAGTCCGAGTGACTAAGGCACTTATGACACAGGATAACAAGTAAATCTAGTCCGACGTTTAAGATCTTGAAGCAAGATTTTGTGGAAGTTGATGAAAGCACAGCAAATGTTCCATTCATTCTCTGTAAAGTTAGAGAAAAGTGGGGTCAAGCTTATATATTAGTAACCAATAATGGCTTGGAGATAGAAGACAGCCCAGGAACTCAAGGTACATGCATGTAACTATTATCATTTATCAAGAGTACATGAAAAGCTATTATATATCTAAGAGTTTTGATGTGGGTGGCTGGTATCTAGTGTGTATACTTGGTTTTTGAGTTGATTATGATAACAGCATTATTCTTTTAGGTCTTTCATTTTGGAAATCTCCACGAAGAATAATCTATGCTATTCGGGATGACTCCAAGAAATCAAGTTTGATAACAAATAAGAAACGCACTGCTGTGTGGGATTCCGATGATGATGATGAAGTGTTTGAGAAGCCTCTTAGGAAAAGATCAGGTCTAAGTGGCATAGAAGAAAAGGTTGATGTACTTTCAGCAGATGTCCAAATTCTAAAGGAATCTGTGTCTGAGGTAATGGACCTCACTAGGCAATCAAATATCCCTTTGGCTTTTGTTCGTGCCATACGAGATTCATTTAAATGTAGAATTTGTTTATCTGTTCCTCTAAAGCCACCAGTAATTGTCAGTAAGTGTTGCAAGGTTATTCTTGGGTGTGAAACATGCCTCAACCAATGGTATTCTGGTCCCGAGGCACTTACTAAGAGATGCCCTGCTTGTCAAGGAGAAAGGGGCTACAATGAGACACTTTTACTTCGTGGACTTGATGAGTTCCTCACTGATGTCAGGACAGCTCTTGAGACCGCAGCTCCGGTAAATGCTCCTTCTGGTTCTTCAAGTACTACATCTAATACCATTGAAATAAATGAGGATTAGAAAACTTGTGTTAACTGTTAAACTCTAACATTAATTGAGGTTATTCAACCTATTGTGTTATCATTAAATTTTGTTGCAAAAAGAAAATTACTTTAAGTGCAATTCAAGATATTAGGTGGTTTCAATAGTGTAATAGTTATCTCAAATAGGGTGGTTAGCTTCAAAAATTAGCTTTGTAATTGATGCTAAATCTAATAATCTGGTATGGTTTCATGTCTTGTACAATATGTACCTCTCTGCATGACATTAGAATTCTTGTCACATACTAGTATTATATCCCATGCCGTATCGAATAGACAATGATAAAATTAGCCTTGAATATCAACAAACATTATGTCACTAGGTGGTTTATACATGCACGTCACTCATAATCTAGACTAGTTCACATGGCATGGATTAGCATCAGAATGTGCTAACACTCTAAGCAAGACTCAAACAGAGGTTGCTATCCTATTGGCATCCTATTATTTAGCTCAATAAGAGGTTGCCATCCTATTATTTGACTTGATTAATAAATTAATATAGACTACCCACCCATTTAAGCATTTTGTATAAGGTTTTCTATTGTTTCTTGTGTCAAACTAAGTTATGTATTATTTAATTGCAATTCAAGATGCCTGGTGATTTCAATAGTGTATAATAATCCCTGACGAAATAAGGTAAAGTCACTATTTGCAACAGAATGGAAAAAGTCATCGTAGTTTGGAAAACGAGCCTCGAACTGTTCATCTCTCTGTCGACAAAAATGGCCATGTCCTTCCAGTGGGTCTTGTCCAAATGGGCTAAAGCGAGTCAGGTGTGATCCCAATGATTCCATCTGTTGAACAGCAACCTCTGTTTCTGGAAGAATATTTGGATCAATAGGCGCAACATGAGTAGCACGTAGCATTCTCTCATTTGGTATTCCTTGCCCTAGATTGTTGAATAATGGAACATCTTATAATAATTGGTTATACAAGACACCTAATGCAAATGATGTATAAAGTAACTAGGTTAAGGCGTGAAAACTATTGCTAAAATATGCTATAATTATGTGCCTATCATGAGATTAATGTTGCTTACCAGGCACAGAATGTTCATTCCAAGCAGATGTTGCCATAGTTGTACCAACAATAGCAA